GGGGCACTGGGAGGGTCCAGGCAGGCTGCAAACGGAGCTACCTCAAATACCAGTCTGGACGACAGTATAAATGTCTTCAGCTGCTGGGGTGGGTAGGAGTGCAGAGTCATCTTTTTCTGATGGGGACCCTGGTGCACTAGAAGGTTTCCGAGGGCCAATTTCAAAAGTTCCCTGTGTGTCTTCGTTAGTACAGTTGTCTCCCACTTTCCCAGTTTTGTTTTTAGACCAGACTTCCCTTTATAAAAGACTCGCCTGGTTTTATTCACCAAAAAAACCCCCCAAAAACGTGAAGAGTTTCACTTTCAAGAAAACGGGGAGGAACAAAAGGCAAAACCAGCACTCAGTGTTTGTCCTGCAGCAATCCCTGGCAGAGGCAGCCTGCACCCTGCGCAGTGACAGTGGCAGCGGGTGTCGCCAAGCTCCTCCCCGGGGGACGCTGCTGAGCAGCTCAGCGTCAGGCTGCCACGGCTGTCAACTGTGTCTGTGGACACTACAGTAGTGTTAGTTTTCATTCCACGTGTCACTGGGTTTGACTTCTCAGGGTATTTTCCAGGTCTAAGAACTCTCCAAAATGCTTCCCATATAAGTCAATGACTGCAAATGCTTCTTCACTTTGTGCCACCTTGGCTCACTTAAGATTTCACGGGCATGCAGGACCTTCAATTTCACCTATGAGCTTAGTTTTTTAGTGCTACTATAACCGAACACAAGTGGGTAGTTTCAAGAAATCACATTTTATTTCCTTCTTGTTTGGAAGGCCAGAAGTCCAAATGCAGTGCACTGTCCCAGGGGGAAGGAAGGGGTAGGCTTCCCTTCTCTGCTGGCTCTGGGGGAAGGGGCTTGCTCTTCTCCATTTTTGCTCCTGTCAACCTTCATGTGGGATAGAATCTATCTTTCCCCATCTGTTCCATTCATACCTCCTCCAAAATAATCAGTCTGCTACACAGCCTACACTAACTCATTAATATAACAAAGAAAACTCTATTCTCAAATTAAATCATATCTAGGCTTCATGCAAGATGGCAGACTAGGCAGATGTGGTACCCGGACCCTCTATATCAACGATGACACAAGAGACCTACTGAAATACACATGGGTGATTACCCTGGCGCCCTGAGCTTCAGAGGAAAGGGCAGAGAAGTGTTAACTGAGTGCCAACTGGGAGAAGAAGCTGGTGAGAATAGGCAGACTGAGTAGGTGAACTGTCATCTGGCCCTGACAGCACAGCCACTTAGAACTTCTGCAAGAGGCAAATGATTAGGACAACAACCTGGTAACAGGTTGCAAGCATCCAGGACAACACAAGTGTTCACCATCAGTGACCGGTGACCGGAAAGGTACAATCTCCCCTGTTCTCCACACACTCTTGGGGACCAGCCCCCACCTTCACCCATCAGTAGGTAGTGGCACCCTCTGCTCTCTACCAAGCCCCTGCTCTATCTGAGGCCAGAGGCACACCTTTGGTGATGGGGCACCAGGTGGGTGCTACCCATGAGCGGGCAGGAACTCCATAATCAATCACTCTGCCTCTTGACCCAGTAGAGCTGCTTCCAGGAACAAGCACTTGGATCCAAGCAACTCCCTGGGCTGGCGTGCACTTCTTCTAGTCAGGCGCCTGGACCTAAGAAGCCTTCTAGACTTGCAATCATCTCATGCCGGACTGGGAATCCTGCACCCTGGCTTCCTCTCCCGTGAACTACTGGGCAGGTAGAGGTGCCAACTCGCATGTTGCTCCAGTTCATACCAATGAATTATATGAACCATCGTCTGTCCTTTCTGGGCCCGGCCCACCCTGCTCTTCCTTTCTTTCTCTGCTTAGCTTTTTCGTTTCTTCCACTTCGCCTCCCTTTTCCATTTTCTCCTCTCACCTTTTCTACTCTCTCTTGCCTCCTCCCCTCATCCCAGTCTTTGTGATTTAGGGGATTCTCCCCTGATTTTTCTCTTTGCCAGTTTCCTGATCGTTATATGTTCATTATTTGTCTTTTAATTATTAAATGCTTTTCCTACTTTGTTGTTGTTTGCTGGTTTTACC